TCGAATGGTCAGTCCGCCCTTGCCTATATGTCCATGCACACATAGATTGTAATCAACGTTTTTTGGCTGGAAAAAAACCCAGGACTAGTGGGTTTCTAGAGTTTTTTAACTGTAAAAATGCTCTAATGCTGAAAAATGCTGCAAAAAGTGGTAAAAAAACCACAAACTGGCGTTTTTGGATTTTTTTTACCCCTTTGACCAAAAAAATAGTTTTCTTTGTTAAAAAAAGCTAAAAAACGCAAATGCGGAAAAAACCCATGAAAATGTCGCTAAACGTGGCAAAATTCCGCTAAACCAGTGGTCGGCAAGCCGCGGCTCGCGAGCCACATGCGGCTCTTTACCCAGTCTAATGCGGCTCTTCTGTGTGCCGGGCGCCTGCTCCCCTCCCTCCTCTCGGTCGGCCGCTCCCCTGCCTCCTCTCGGTTGGCAGCCCCAAAAGTCCGCGCGGACCTTTTAATCCGGCTTGCGGATGTGGCTGTCAGGATGTGTGTGTAGGCGGGGCAGCGTGCCGAACGTGAGGGGAGGGGAGCTAGGCTCCTCTCACAGTCCGCCCTGAAGACCCGAACGGCGCGGGAAGACAGCGAGAGGAACGCAAAAGGTAAGTGAATTGACACGGGGGACTTGGCTTACTAGAAGGGGGGGGGGGGAATAGTACTGTGGGGGATGAAATACTATATGAGGGATGAATTACTTTATGAGGGATGAAAATACTATATGGGGGGATGAAATACTATATGGGGGATGAATTACTATATCAGGGATGAATTACTATATGAGGGATGAAATACTATATGGGGGGATGAAATACTATATGGGGGGATGAAATACTATATGGGGGGATGAATTACTATATGAGGGATGAAATACTATATGGGGGGATGAAATACTATATGGGGGATGAATTACTATATCAGGGATGAATTACTATATGAGGGATGAAATACTATATGGGGGGATGAAATACTATATGGGGGGATGAAATACTATATGGGGGGATGAATTACTATATGAGGGATGAAATACTATATGGGGGGATGAAATACTATATGAGGGATGAAATACTATATGGGGGATGAATTACTATATGAGGGATGAATTACTGTATGAGGGATGAAATACTATATGGGGGATGAAATACTATATGAGGGATGAAATACTATATGAGGGGATGAAATACTATATGGGGGGATGAAATACTATATGGGGGATGAAATACTATATGAGGGATGAAATACTATATGAGGGATGAAATACTATATGAGGGATGAATTACTATATGAGGGATGAAATACTATATGGGGGGATGAAATACTATATGGGGGGATGAAATACTATATGGGGGGATGAAATACTATATGAGGGATGAATTACTATATGAGGGATGAAATACTATATGGGGGGATGAAATACTATATGGGGGGATGAAATACTATATGAGGGATGAATTACTATATGGGGGGATGAAATACTATATGAGGGATGAATTACTATATGAGGGATGAAATACTATATGAGGGATGAAATACTATATGGGGGGATGAAATACTATATGAGGGATGAAATACTATATGGGGGGATGAAATACTATATGAGGGATGAAATACTATATGAGGGATGAATTACTATATGGGGGATGAAATACTATATGAGGGATGAAATACTATATGGGGGATGAAATACTATATGGGGGATGAAATACTATACGGGGGATGAAATACTATACGGGGGATGAAATACTATACGAGGGATGAAATACTATACGGGGGATGAATTGCTATGGGGGATGAATTACTATATGGGGGATGAATTACTATGGGGGATGAATTACTATATGGAGGATGAATTACTATATGGGGGATGAATTACTATATGGGGGATGAATTACTATGGGGGATGAATTACTATGGGGGATGAATTACACTATGGGGGATGAATTACACTATGGGGGATGAATTACTATATGGGGGATGAATTACTATGGGGGATGAATTACTATATGGGAGATGTATTTTCAGTTTTAAAAATGTGGCTCTCAAAATAAATTTCAATCATGGTTTTGGCGAGATTTGGCTCAGTTGAAAAAAAAGGTTGCCCACCACTGCGCTAAACGATAATCCAAAAATGCTAAAAGGAGCTGAACAACTCACATTTTTAACGTGACTTTACACAGCTTATGCTAAAAAAACGCAAATGTGGGAAAACCCAGGAAAGTGTTGCTAAACATGGCAAAATGCCGCTAAACGCTAATGCAAAAACGCTAAAAGGAGCGTTTTTAACGTGACTTTACACAGCTAACCTTACCAGCGTTATGAAAACGTCCCGTGTGCATGAGGACTAATTGCCAAAGCTTAATTGCACAAGCTGAAGTTAGAAGCTGATTGGCTGCCATGCAGAGTTGCACCAGCTTCTGAGTGCTCCAGCTTTAGTAAATCTCCCCCTATGGTGTACTTTGATGGGACGAGGCGGAAAGGAGGGGTAATGATGGCGCTTTATAAATACTGTATAATAATAATAATGTTCCAATCCTCATCTCGCCCAATCAGATAACATCTTTATTCAATGGAAAAAAAAAAAGATGATCTATGGCTGAGGTGCCAAACAAATGACGCCCTGTGGTCCTGCAAAATCACAGCTATCACTGTAGCAACCCCAACTAAAAAAGTGATTTCCACTTTCCCCAGCAGTCCCTCAGGTATGAAATATTATTATATATAATATTATATATTAAATTGTTGACGCTATATAAATCCTGTATAATAATAATTATTATAATATGCATACCTACATTGTGCCAAGCTGGACCAATGCCAGCATGCAATACAAATCATTCCTTTAGGTACTGAACCAAGGATGAGGATGCCAGCCCTGGAATTTGCACTTTTACAAACAAGTCAGCACTGGCAACGTCCATATTTCTATCCTGACGGGCTCCCTTTAAGATAATGTTTTCATTATTAATGCCATAGACAAGAAGTTTGATCGTGCTCATATTTCACATGGATGCCGCAGAGTAAATATAGCAGCATCAGTTTCAGAAGAGACAGGCTGTTCACTGTCCCTGGTAAACTGATCCCTGAAATTCAATTATATCTGGATTCTAGTTGAACTTCTAAAGCTGGAAAAGAATAGTGTTTACTCTTACTGACCTACAATCAAGGCTAGAGATAGCCTAATATTAATAGGGTTTAAATGACCAGTAAATGTAAATTCAAGCTGGTTTATAGAAAAAAAAAAAACCCTTAAATAACTTTTATAGATATACATGTCAAGGCGTCATGGAGCTCAGAAGTACAAAAGGTGCTCAGATGTACATGTGGGGTACGTATCCTTCGCACAGCTGGCGTTCTGCATAGTAATCATTCTGAAGGACACTGCAGTCCCCTTCCTAGTATGAAATGGCACATAATGTCAGACAACAGGCTGCAGTATGTGACATCATAAAATATGCCGGAAAAAAAAATTCTGAAAAGCATCAGTCTTATTCATTTAATAACAAAGTACAAAGGATAGCGAGTAACCCCTTGGCAGCTGAATGTTAGTGTAGAGTTGTGTAGCTCCCTCCTAGATAGCTGCTAGGTTTAGATAATTCGATTTCCTGTGTGTTTTGATAGGAAATTTAGTTGTCACACTGTGTGGATGGAATTGTTGTTAGGTAAAAGCATAATTTGCACACTGTAATCAGTGTTGCTGTTTTCTGCTAGTTAGATCTGCTGAGTTTGCCAGCTTTTGCCAGCCTGAGAGCTGCCTCTGCCTTCAGGAAGCTTCAGAAGTTTCTGGATAATAGGTGCAGATACAGTCCCAGGCTATCCAAGAGAGACTGGCTCTGATGGCATGCTGGGTAACTGTATATATTCAGTGAGCACATTGAGTTCTGGTTCTTTCCTCTATAGGATTGTTCCAGCCTCGGAAAGGACACATTGCACTCCCAGGCAACTAATGCCATGCTGCCTCAGGTGGGCGACCTGAAAGCCTGAATGCTGAGACCTGAGGTTCCACTAAAGTTGATTGAGGGGCCATCTACTGAAGATCTGGTCTGGTATCATGGAGGAAGGCAGCCATCTGCTCTTGGGCATTGTGAGTACAGACACCCTTAAAGGATCTTACAGACGATGTGCTATAAAACCCCCTCTTGTGCCTAGGAGTCAACTTCAGTTTAGGCTAAAGGGGATGCCAGCTGTGTTCTAAAGAGCTTTGTCCATTTAATTTCCCACTTCAAGGGACTACTACTGATGCTACTACTGCTGCCTTCAAGCTGAAGTCTACTGTTTGCTTCAAGTACAGAGTTTGTCACAGCTTTTCCAAACGAATACTTAAAGTACTCAACTGTACATAGTTTCTGTTTTTTTTTTTTTAGTATCCCATCTAATTCCCCATCACTATCCAAGTTCTCCAAAATTAAAAACAACAAAACCAACACTCCTAGACTGGTCATTGCGGGGAAACCCTTTTGAGGAAGACCTGGACAGTATTCTTGCGGCTCCTATCGGAGTAGCACCACAGTTGTCAAATCTGAACAGATTTGAAGTGTATCTAGGGTATAAGGACTCATTTACTTCCTTGCCATGTGTTAATGTATATCAAGTCCCTCATTAATATACAATGTGTAGGGAAAGCCTATCCAAAATAAATGGGCTTCAAAATAAATAGGGAAAGCCTATCCAAAATTAATACACCATAACGTGCTTAGAAAAGCATGGAAACATTTTTTTCAAATGCTCTACTATGCATTGCATTGTCTTAGGGCTCTTTGACACAGGCAGCCGGGGTGGGGCTGTGATTAACAGCAGAGAGAGCCAATGGGCTGCTGCTGCTGTCTCAGCCAACAAGGATGGAGAGTCCAAGACAGCCGAGGCTATGGTGAACATCGCTGGATCGGAAGTGGCTCAGGTAAGGATTTAGGGGAGCTGGGGGGGAGGACTGCTGCACACAAAAGGTTTTGTACCTTCATGCATCTTTGTACCTTCATGGGGCTTTACAATCACTTTTGTGTCTTACCTTGTCAGAGTTATATTAACCTCCCTGGCGGTATTCCCGAGTGTAGCTCGGGGTAAAGTTTCAGCACCACAAGCGGTAACCCCGAGCTACACTCGGGAATACCCTGCAGTGCTGCTCCGGGATCTATTCTTCACTTACCTTGTCCTTCCGGCTCATCCTCTATCTCCTAGGTTTTGTACAACACTTCTATACCTTGGCTTTTGTGAGTATGCATTCACTTGTTTTAAATCAATAAATGAATGCACTAGGCCTTTGCACCCTTTATTTTGTCTAAAGCGTTGATTAGTGCTGAAGCCTGCTAGCAGTTTGTTTAAAGTGACAGTCTGCAGACCTATCAAAGGGAAGTAAATTTACAGCATGTAAGCTCGATAGGTGCTGCCCCGGATGGGAGGGTAAGGGTAATGCCTTTTCTGGTTCTTTCGCTTTTGACAGGATCTTTGGGTTTGACCCACTGTACCTGTGGATGCAAAAAGGGACAGTGGGCCAAGTTCAAGGTCTTAGCCCTTTTGAGTTTGGTCTTTGACTTGCCTATCTCCCAGTTCCCCAAGGAGAGCCACACTCGGAATGAGTATAGGATGCCGCTTCCTACTACTTGAATGTAAAGTTGTCAGAACTTGGGGACTGCCTTAAAAACACCAGCTACTGTAGAATACCTCTATTGGACTCTGTATTTACATGGACTATACCTCTGCAGATCTGCCGGGATAGCACATAGCCTGGTTAGGAGTAGGGACTAGGGACTTAGGATGTTATTGAAGTTCTGCTGGACATTTTTGTCTGCTTTGGACTCTGTTGTAATGTAGCACTTTACTTCAAGTAAAACGCAGGAGGGGAGTGTTGCACACCCAGGGGGCACAATCTGCTCTCTTAATCCAGAGCAGACACAATCACATACATATATAATTACTGTGGTGGGTTAGTAAGTGGATAAGATCTGTGAATATCCTTTCAAAGCTGGACCTGAAGGATGCTTGAAACCCCTGGTGCCCAACCTGCACCCCTGTGGCAACATACAGCTCTTTAGCATCCCTTGTGTGGCCCTCGGAGGTCTTGCAGACAGTAGTTTTTTTTTTTTTTTTCTTACCCTTTGCTTACTCAAGCCAGCAAAGGAAAAGATTCATTGTACCCTTCCAATAGTTAAAAACTTTGGTGTATTGCTTTCACACTTTTACTTTTTGTATACTGTCAATTCCTATTTTTTTATGTTTTATACCCTTTGATCTTTTATAATGGAACTTGACTGGGCATAAAGGGGGCTGTAGGGAGTACAAACACAAACTCTAATATCTGATAGTAGTTAGTCATATTTAACTGGGCTTGTTCTATAATGCTGAAGACACTTTGTAACTTGTAATATTAGTTAACTCTGCCAGTCTCATGTAATGCATATCCAGTCTCTTACATCTCTTGTTGCATGTCTACAGTCAGGTCTCTGTATTATTACATTCACTGAACATTATGTACGGCACTTTGTTGAAGGCTGCACTTGGAAGGCTGCACTTGGAAGGTTGCACTTGGGGCCCCTATATCAAGAATATTCAACACCACTGCTTTAAAGTAGACATGTGCGATTCATTTAGTTACCAATCATAATTCTGACAAAAGGTTCATTGTTTGGATGTATTGAATCTCCGAATCACAACAGTAATGAATTCCAATGAATCCAAAATAAATTATAACAAAATGAAATATCCAAATTGGTATTCAAAAATGAATTTGAATTAAAAAATGAATTGGAATTCAAAATGGAAACATATTGCAATAAATACTATGAGGTATAAAAGTGAAACAAGATAATGATCCCTACTTAGGCTGCTTTATAGAACAGAACAGAACAGAACAGAACAATAGAACTGAAAACAAAAGAATAGAATAGAAGAAATACAATAAAAAGAATAGAATAGAAAATAATAAAATAAAATAAAAAAATAGAATAGAATAAAAAAGAAACAAATAGAATAGACTAAAACAGAATAGAATAGAAAATAAAAGCATAAAAGAGAATAGAAAAGAATAGAATAACTGTCTTCTGAAATTCAAATTTCGAAAATCGAATTGCAAATTCGAATTGACTTGAAAAAAAAAAAGAATATACAAAACAAATTTCATAAGCAAATCATTCTAACATAATGACTATGACAAAATGAAATTATTAACTCAACGGACGAATCCAAAACAAAAGCAAATTTTCCCGTCATGCACATCTCTACTTTAACCTCCCTGGCGGTATTCCCGAGTGTAGCTCAGGGTAGAGTTTCAGTACCAAAAGCGGTAACCCTGAGCTACACTCGGGCTTACCATGCAGCATTGCATAGGGATTCCCTGCAGCAATTACCTTGTCCTTCGCTCCCGCGATGTGTCCCCTGCAGCATCCCCGGCCATCTCCTCCGGCCGATGCCAGCATCCGGCTTCCGTGTTCCAGTCCCTGTGACGTTGGGACGTACAGGCTCCGGAACCGACGGAACATTTGAAAATTTAAAAAAATGCAATTTTTTTAAAAACGATTATTTCATAGCAAAACATTGCTGTTTCAAAGCATTCACATACATTTTGTCCCTACTGCTTTGACCTGTGTCCTGCCTGCATTTTTACTGTTCTTTCTGCCTGGAAACTGAGAAAAGTCCATGGCGTCCAAAAAGCATCCCTTTATGTCAAAATCGGTTTTAGACCGGCTAGAGAACAGCGATAGTAAATCAGAACCACTTGCAGAATTGAGTGATAATGATTCGTGGGGAAATTCATCATCAGACACTGAAAACTATTCTTCGACTTTGCTCAGTGATGTGCGAACCTGGCGCTATATTTCAAATTTCAGTGTTTTTGGTTTGATTATGTTATTGAATTAAATTTATTATTATATTTATTATTTTTTCTGAGTATTTATCAAAATATAATTTATGATTTCGTGTTTCAAGTTTTATCATACCCGGGATGTTTAATAGACTCTTGTTTGTACAGATTTCAGTGAGTTATTCCTAAAAATTACAGCCTACAATAAAAAAACTACATATTTCCATGCAAAAAAATGGTACCGCTTTCAGCACCAAAAATCTGAAATAATCATACCGCTAGGGAGTTTAAACAAATATTTGCAAAAGCTAGCAGTACACACCGCAAGCCCGAGTGAACATGTTCTCACTTTTACCACTTAATTATTTAGTTCAATTCTCTCAGGCATAGGAATAAAGGTCTGATATGGATGATTACTGGCAAAGTCACTCCATATAGGCTCCTATACTTAAGTACATGAAGTACACCTGGCTTCCACCCCATGTCTTGCTGCTCTGTCTGACATTACTGTATTAAACAAGGATGTGCAAAGTATAAAAAGATCTCTTTATTATGTGAAAAATGGAATGCAAGCAGATATCTCAAAAATAAAGAGAAGCAGCAATTGTTGTTGGGGATGAAGGCGTAGCTACCCCCCTTTTGGTTATGATCTACTATGATCCCACTCATAACACACGTCATATTCCTCCTGTGTATCTCTGCTTTAAGGGGTGCTCTGCATACATTACTTGAATATTCCATTTTATTGTTAATTGCAAATCAACTGATGACATTTTGATGGCCATTGCTGTGAACCCACATATACAATATTTCAAGGGTCAGTAAAGTTTTCCACATTACATAATGATCATTACACAGTGGTCAATGTTCCATTTTACTGTATTAGATAATCCATATTAGAGGAACAGTGCAATTCATGTTTTTCAGATTGCTGCTTTACTTCCTTTTGTTCTGAGTTCTATGGCATGCATCACAGAGATTATCTAGTTATTGTATCTTTACAAGATGATCCATATGTAATACAGTAAGTAATTGGCTAACCAAAACTCATAATTCAGTTCTGTTAGGACACAGAGTCCTTTTTCAAAACAGGGAATGTAATTTTCATCAAACTTTCCTTCACAATCAATCACTGCCACTTGGACCTGGAAGAATTTTCTGCAGAGAATATTTCCTGAATGTCAGAATTACTGCTTTTATAAATATGCCTCTTGAACATACTAAAATAAAAATTACTTCCTCAACTGATTTGAGGTATTCTAAATGAAAAAAAAAATGTTTATTCACATCAGTTAAATGAACTGCAAGGATTTTACCAAACCTGTTGCTTCTGATCTGTAGACACCGAAGAAGGCCTTTTCACTGTTCTAGATCAAATCTTTAGACATGAGTGCCAAGTAGGGAGGTCTATTTTTACTGTAATTATGTTATCAGTATATATCAGTATGTAGTTATAGCATAGTGTATGGATGTAAGTAAAAATTTGAAAATGTTCTATATATCTTCTATTTAGATTGCATGGGCTCAGACGTCCATGTGCAAGAGGCCTTTGCCAGTGCAGTAAACCTGCTATACATCAAGGATCAAGCTGCCTGTAATTTGACAAAAAGTTATGTACAGATTTCTAAGAGCCAATAAATTAAAAGAGTGAGTTGGTTTTGGCACAGCCTGTTCTCTCAATTAACTCTTGAAGAGTTTAAGTGTCAGGTGACCAAAAGAAGTCTCGCTTTGATTTTTATTAGTGTTTTCTGTCTCCCAGGGGACAAAGTTGAACTTTGTCCCCTCTTCCTATGTGGTGTTTAAGGCTGGCTGTGAGGTTGGACAGGATATGGAAGGAGGATACCCGTCCTCCTTCCATGGCCGTCCAACAATACGGCTAGCAAGGAGACGGCTACTTTGATAGATGACACTTTTTTCCATCTCTAAGGAATGCAGGGGAAGGGTGGGGGCTAGTTAGAGGCAAGCTATGATGTTGGACAGGGCATCCTTCCTTCCATGGCCGTCCAACAATACGGCTAGCAAGGAGATGGCTGCTTTGATAGATTACACTTTTTTCCATCTCTAAGGAATGCAGGTGAAGGGTGAGGGCTAGTTGGATGCAAGCTATGACATTGAACAGGGCATCCTTCCTTCCATGGCCGTCCAACAATACAGCTGACAAGGAGATGGCTGCTTTGATAGATGACACTTTATTCCATTTCTAAGGAATGCAGGTGAAGGGTGGGGGCTTGTTGGAAGCAAGCTATGACGTTGAACAGGGCATCCTTCCTTCCATGGCCGTCCAACAATACGGCTAGCAAGGAAATGGCTGCTTTGATAGATGACACTTTTTTCCATCTCTAAGGAATGCAGGTGAAGGGTGGGGGCTTGTTGGAAGCAAGCTATGACGTTGAACAGGGCATCCTTCCTTCCATGGCCGTCCAACAATACGGCTAGCAAGGAGATGGCTGCTGTGGTAGATGACATTTTTTTCCATCTCTAAGTTATGCAGGGGAAGGGTGGGGGCTAGTTGGAGGCAAGCTATGATGTTGAACAGGGCATCCTTCATTCCATGGCCGTCCAACAATAAAGCTAGCAAGGAGATGGCTGCTTTGATAGATGACATTTTTTTCCATCTCTAAGGAATGCAAGGGAAGGGTGGGGGCTAGTTGGAGGCAAGCTATGACGTTGGACAGGGCATCCTTCCTTCCATGGCCGTCCAACAATAAAGCTAGCAAGGAGATGGCTGCTTTGATAGATGACATTTTTTCCATCTCTAAGGAATGCAGGGGAAGGGTGGGGGCTAGTTGGAGGCAAGCTATGACGTTGGACAGGGCATCCTTCCTTCTATGGCCGTCCAACAATACGGCTAGCAAGGAGATAGCTGCTTTGATAGATGACACTTTTTTCCATCTCTAAGCAATGCAGGAGAAGGGTGGGGGCTAGTTGGAAGCAAGCTATGATGTTGAACAGGGCATCCTTCCTTCCATGGCTGTCCAACAATACGGCTAGCAAGGAGACGGCTGCTTTGATAGATGACATTTTTTTCCATCTCTAAGGAATGCAGGGGAAGGGTGGGGGCTAGTTGGAGGCAAGCTATGACGTTGGACAGGGCATCCTTCCTTCTATGGCCGTCCAACAATACGGCTAGCAAGGAGACAGCTGCTTTGATAGATGACACAGCTGATGACATAGATGACATAGTTGACAAGTCTCCCCCCTTCCCCTACATTACTTAGAAATGGAAAAATGTGTCATATGTTAAAGCAGCCATCTCCTAGCTGCGTTGTTGGATGGCCGTGAAGGGAGGACAGACACCGACCTGTGACCTCATAGTTAGCTTTAAACACCACATAGGAAGATGAGACAAAGTTCTGCATGTACCCTGTCCCCCAGGGAAAAGAACACATTAATACATATTCACGTGAGATTACTTTTTTAAATCATACAGGTAATTTTAAATTATACAGGTAATGAAACCCTCAGGTAAGGAGTTTTCTTGGCTAGCAAAACAAAAATTTCACTTTAAGCAGAAAATACTGCGGAAAAGGATAGGGCCTGACTGCTTGGCTACTTATTTTCTCCAACATGAAAAATGCTCTTTAAATGATAAAATAGCTTGTGTATGTTATAAATAATTAAACCCCAAAACCAAAATATAAAATATTTCAGCTTAGCAGTCCTTAGATGTGGTGACTGCATTTACATAGTTACATAGTTAGTCTGGCTGAAAAAAGACAAAAGTCCAACCTGTTCAACCATAAAAAAAAAAAGTTATAATCCTATACCCACAGTTGATCCAACATTTGTTTTCTTTTTTAGGCTTATTTTCACCTGGTGATCCCATTAGTGACACACTTTCTATCATGATACTAACTCACCATATTGCATCTGTTTCAGAACAGCACTGTCATCCTAGGACAGGAAGCATGTTAGGACTATAGAACACCTCCATCTCCTCTTTTACATAACATAGTGGGGAGGTGTTTTGTATTCACCAAAAATAACTGGTAACAATGTAACTTTCCTTTATTTTAACCTGGTGAACCTACAAATAACACACCTCCTGTCCGTGGGTGGCTATGCTTACATCTCCACTGTATTTAAGGAGGGAGCCATGGTTGTCACCCAGGCTAGACTACAAACATATCTAAGTTTATTACTCTCCAGTACACGGGAGGATTAGTAGTTTACAGAAAGGAGATAACCTTTTTTGTGCTTTTTTTTAGAAATGACAAGCACACTACATTTCTTGTACGATCAACAGGTATTTTCTGTACTTGCCAAAGTGTTGTTAGCCTGAAAAATGGAACCCAATGCAGCCACCATATCTAAGGACTGGTAAATAGTAATGAGCTTGGGTTCAGTCCAAACCCAAGTGTGTCTGAACCCAAACGTTAGCTGTTATTGCTGGGCCAAAGAGCTGTGGGTGGTAGATTCCCCACCATGCACCCATTATACACAAAGAGACTGGATGCTTGTGACACCATTGACCTAATTGTGCCCTGTGGCCGTATTTGTTCAGTAATGTCACAAGTATCCCTGCCCATTTGTATAAGTGCCGCTATAGCGGGGAATCTCCCTCCTGTATCTGATTGGCTCAACAGTAGCAGCTAACTTCTGGGTTCAGACCAAACCCAATCTCATTCCTACTGGTAGCTTACATTCGTCTTAAGTTTTGATATCCTTTAAATTTATCTTCAATGCACAACTAAAGTGGAGTTTTCCTTTAAGGAAACCTTAGGCTGATTTTAACATGATCTGATATAAAACATGTCAT